GCTACCGGATGACTGGCTGCTCGTCCGACTCCTCGCTGTTAATCTCTGTTTTGGTTTTCCCCGCTCCTCAATCTCTCACCACTCACATACCAAAACAAAAACTCAAATCTTTAATTCGACGAACAGCAAAGGAACACAAGGTAAAAATTAGCGATTTTCTAATCAACAGCTGAAACAATACTAAAAATTAAACTTACGGGTGCCCCCTCTTTCTCTTAAACGTTCACCCTACTTCGAGTATGTCGAATTGCGAACATATCGATTGTTCGAATCGACTACCGTTGCACTACATTATTTTATATATAAATATTAATCTCGTTATTTATAAATAATACATTTGCAGGGTGATTTTTAATCATTTTGTAAATTCATGTAAAATAATCCGCATATAATATCTATACCATTTTTTTTAATTTATAACGGAGAATCACGGCTCAGCCGTTACTCTCCGTCGAGCACTATCTATGCCCGTGCGCCTTACCGAGCTGAGAGTGTGCGCTGGTTGAGCACATTCTCATCAGCTATCTCTTTTGTTCTCTTGAGGTGCGACGGTGGCGACGGCGATTGGAGGCAGCTGACGAGTAGACGGCAGTGAGAGGGAGAGAGACAGAAGATCAGAGAGAGCCAGCGAGTCGCCGGCAGACCTGGGCCCGTATCTCGCTGGCCGAGAGAGAGAAAATCGGCAGTAGCAGCTGGACAGCGAAACAGACCGCCGCGCGCACAAGTTTTTCCCTGGACTTTGTTCGTTTTCGTCGGTTAAGTTCCCGCGCCCTTTCCGTGATTTTCAGTTAAGGATACGTGCCCGGTGCGCGAAATAATGATTGACGTTTGTTTTCTGTGTGTGAGAAGGTGATACCGCGAGTGAAGCGAGGCCGGCACCGGTGCACGTGGGCAACCGGTGAGGTGACGCGGGTTTGTGAGCGCGTGCGGCCATCTTCTCTTGGCGGTGAGTGGCATTTCTGTTGCTTTGAACAGGGAGCACGACACATCTAGAACACACACACATACACTCCAGGACGATAGCAACAACAATAAAAGTAATAATAACAGCAATAATAGTTACCGTATTAACAGCGACAACAACGCTAACAGCAATAACTAAGTAATAATACTAAGAGTAATAACAACAGCAACAATATTAACAACATCGATATCAACAACGATACTACCAAAACTTAACAAACAAGAACTAGAAAACTCGAGGAACATATTTAACAAAGGAAATTTATATCACCACAGAATCTATCAGCACAAGCAGAGGTCAAAGGAGAACGGAGCCACACATCAACAGCGCGAGGCAAGGTCGGTGCTATGTTTCTCTCTCTCTCTCTCTCTCTCTCTCTCTCTCTCTCTCTCTCTCTCTCTCTCTCTCTCTCTCTCTCTCTGTCCGAGGTGACGATCGAGTACTACGTAGCCCGTTAGATCTGCCGGCTACGAAGTCATTTATTGACTTTGTTCGGACGTTGTTGCTTCTTTATTTTGTATTCGAATATATCTTTTCTTTTATATCTTTTCCTCTATTAAACAAACAGCGGTTCGGAAAACAGTCCTGCAGCCGATCTGCTGCACGTTTGCGCTTATAAATTTAATGTAACGGCGGTATTATTTTATTGTTCAGAATAAGTTTTGTTATTTTATTATTATTAAAGTTGTTGTTTTATTCCGATTTTTGTTGTCATAATTCACCTGGAATCACTCCTGATCCAATGATAATTAATTCACGTATGATTAATGCGTTTGCTCGACGCATTATTAAGTCGTGGGAACGTTTTCTTTGCTTCCCGAATCCCCTTTATCAAATAAATAATTTGTACGGGCAGTCGCGAGCTACCTTGAGAGGGACGACTGGATTTCACCGTTACAAATTATACATAAGCTTTATAAAATTTGCAAAATCTCAGAAAACATTATTCAGAAACCATATAGTTTACATATATATATCCGTATAGCTCCTGCATAGTTGTTGTACAGTAAATTTCGGAAAAAATCTGAGCTTTTCTGAACGTTTTTTATACAGATTCTGTACAGATTTTCTGCAGCTGCTATTCAGTTTTTTTGACAGGATTATTATATAATATAATGTATTCTATATAAAATATTTCTACAGAAATAAATATATAATTGAATAAATTATATAATTAATATAATTCTACCTATTAATAAAAAATAATCAAATGTATTTTGTTTCGATGTAATGTGTAGAACATTATTACGTCTGAAATTTCCAAAATATTTACTTTCCCTTTTTAATCTCGAAAATATCCGTAATTTACTAGGAAAATCTATCTAGAGCCAGCAAAGCTAGGCAGAAATATCGAAAGGAAAAATCTGTCATGGTGAGTTACCCTTCGCCGCCTTTAGTTTGTGGATTTTTGTGCGATTTGTCTAACTTTAATCCGGCGTTGACGAGAATGTGTCTAAAGCATCGCTCGCAGCCAGTCACACTTCACAAATCGAGAGGGTTTGGGATTGGCGGAATGTTTCGGTTTGAGTTGTAACTTCACTGATTTTTGATGATTCACTGCTTTTGATCGTTACTGTTTCGCTCACAGTTGCGGAGTACGTGTTCAGTCGTCTCTGCAATCGAAAAAAAGGCGCGTAATGGCCCGCCTACTGGCGTGATAACTAATCTCACCAGCAATGGGATAATTGCTCATTCAGATTCATGAATGGTCCTTTATCCGCTCCTTCCTTAAGAGCGTAAAAGAGAAGGACTGTCTCTCTCCCACTCCCGCGATATACTTTTGTCAAAAGCGCATATTAGGCGGAAAGGTACGTATCTCTCATTCTACGAAAGAAACGGCGTCGACTTAAATGTAAATTTTGTCTGGAGGTCCATCCGTACCGAGGCTGCAGAGAGCGAGAATTCGCGCAGTTAGCAGTTTGCGTGAGAAAAACTGAAAGTTGCACGTAAACTGCTGTTTTGGCAAAATTTCAGCGTCTGATGTCTGGCTTACTTGGGACGTAACAATTGAATCAATAATTTTATTAATTGAATTCATTTGATCTAACAATATAGTTTTATTTCTATCTAATGTGATGCATGAAAACAAATATTAATAAAAGTATTAATCAACCATATCCTATAATTTTCATAAAAATTTTTTGTTTAAAAATTTTTATTTTCAACGAATGGTAAAATGATTCTATTATTAGCTGTATATTCAGAATGTTTGTGTTAGTAATGATTCAAAAATATAGTTTTTTTTATATTAGTAATTTTTATATTTATAAATTTTTTGATAAATTTTAATGAATAATAATTTTGTAATAAAAATTATTGAGACACTTTAAAATTACTGCTAACGGTTTGAAAGAACGAAATTCGAATAGCTATCGGTTCGGTGTGTCTAATCATAAGAAAGTGATTTGGCCACTCATGGTATCTGTGGCTACTTATCATTGAAATTTTTCAAAACTCTCCTCACTAACGTCGACAGTGTTCATGCTTTTGCAACTATCGCTCTCTTCTGCTTTTTCAATGCACTTCTTCCTTTTCCTGCTTTTTCGTAATGATCACTAACTTAAAACGCCGAGTATATGTCTTTTAGCTTCTCCAGCATCGTTACTAGCTAAACATTGTCGCTGTATTATGTCGGTCTGTCTGTCTGTCTCTCTCATTTTCTCTCTCTCTCTCTCTCACTCTCTCTCTCTCTCTCTCTCTCTATGTTTCTCATTCACGTCAAACGTGTGACGTGCACTATCTATCCTATCTCTCTAACCTACCCCCTACAAATACACTTATTATAATAATATGTATTTGAGCGATATTCTCAAATTGCGTTCAACGACGATTACAATACGTAGGTAGTGTAATAACAGATAATAAAAAAAATCAGCATTGACTTGACATCGTTCTGACTTTGACGTGCTTTTTACAGTCTCAGCGATCCAAAATGCATCCACTGTGAAGGCTATTGTTTGGTTTTGGCATTATAACCAGAAATTCATAATTCAGCACTAGTAATTATCTTTTTGAGTATATTTGCATCATCACAAGTCATTTGCAAGTTGTCCTCAGCGATTATAAAGCTAAGTTTTTTTAGTTTTTTTGTGAGCAAATTTGGAATGAATTTTGTATACACAAATCATTTTCAGTTTCTCGGTTAAAATTTCCGAAACAATGGTTTTAGAAATTTTAAGATCATATTCTAGTTTTTGCATAGTCAACTAGAGATCTTCTTCAATCGTGAGTCACATAAGATTCATATTTTCCAGTTTTGTTATAAACAAAAAGATATCCGGAGTGTAAATCACTTTCAGCAGATCGGCAGCCATTTTTACATCATTTGTACCTCTCATATGTGATTTTTATCCATATAATCATCTTAAAAAACCTTTTTATCATTGTAACCGTTTTGGCATAAGTCTTCAAGTTTAAAGCAAAACTTTATTTAAATTAGCTGTTAAATTTTTCAGTCATTTTTAGCAATAAATGTAACGACCCAAAAAAAGACTTCGTAAAAAATCTACGTTGTGCATGATCGAAGACGTCTTGTCATGAACTACGACGTAGAGCGAGTTCTTAAAGAGGTATAGCTAACCGTGATAACCGACAGGGGGTGCTTAAATGTTCCGATAGAGAGATTCAAAAGTATTTTAGATACTTTTCAGACACCTCGTATACAGTTGTACATCTGACTATAGTTACGTAGGTTACTCTTCCAAGAATTATATACAATTTATAAATTATTGGTACTTAGTTATAATTTGATTCATGTGAAATGATAAAATGGCTCAGGTTAAAATTGCTTGCCAATAAGTTAGAGCCAAGAAGAAATATAAAAACAAGAATAAGAAAACATGAAAGAATGTTATACATTAATTTCAACTTGACAAGGGCCAGAGATTATATATCAAAATGATAGAAATTGTTACGTATACAAATTACTAAAACTATACACTTTCCTGCAAAGTCAATAGTATCATTCATTGAATTATCGTAATTTTATTTCTAGATTTCAATCATATAATTTTTCAAATTATTATCCTTATCTCAGGTTGTTACAGGAACATGGTTAGTTGATGGAAATCCACAAATTATTCTCTTTGATATTGGCAGTGCAGCTTGGAAATTGGACGAATATAAACAAGAATTATGGTCCTGCTGTGGCTTTGGTATCCCTCATTTAGATATTGAAGCGAATGATGCTGTCATTTTCGGTTACCTCGTTTGTCAGTTTATGATCGAATTCAGGTATTTATTGTTGATTATTCATTTGAATAAAATGAAAAGTTATATATCCTTTTAATTTCCTGCCCTGAAAATTTTAAGTTATTTATTAGTGGTTAAGATTTCATTTTAAAGTATAATTCCAGTCATAATATTTGTCAAAATTTCTCTCTAGTCATTTCAAAAGTGATAGGGTGATAGGTGAAGTTGAGATACTTATGACTAAAGGGAATCAAAATTAATGTGTATAGATACATAGTATACTTCTGCTTCGTTTGACATGAACTTAGTTCTTGAAGTACTAATAATAATAACAATCCGTTTGAATTTAATTAATTGAAAGCTAAATTTAAACAAAATTCATTAATGGGATGATGAAGCCCCGCAGAGTCATAAGTAATACATAGGATTTCTTATGACTCTGTGCGGTAATCTGTCATGAAAAATTTATAGGATTTTGTGTATTTGTATGTATATGTGTTTTTTAGACATACGTAAACTATCTTCAAATAACAAATTATTCAGCGCGATACTAAGCATCCGTTATGACCTTTTATCAGTATTACATCAGTAAGGCCTCTTATAATCAATAATTCATTCTTGGATAATCGTTGTCAACTTCCGAGTGAAGAATTGGTTTCAGTATTGAACGGTTGCTCGCGTCATGCCACTTGCTGTCACCATGCTGAAAGTTTCTAAATTGAAAAAATTTCTCTGAATGTTTCTTTCTTTCTTTTTTATGCTCATGTTTCTTATTGTTTACGCTTTTGGTTTCATTCCTTGTGGTTTGATTTGGGTTGGAAAGATGAGTTATCCTTCGCTATATCGAGCACCAATTCGAATTTGCGAATTTAACGCGCATCTAGGCGATACTGCAAGGTTCACTTGAAATTTGTATCATAGTACAAAGTCTAAGTACAGAAAGAGAATTAGAAGTAATGTAGGACCGCCTTGTCTTAGAGTATCACTTAATTATTGTAACAGTTTTGACACGCTGCTACGTATTTTTAAAGGGGAAGATAAGTAAAGTTCGCTCTAAATGCAATCGGAAGAGTAGGCTGGAAAATAAACCAATTTTAATTAATACCAATTAGAAGTTGAAGTTGTAGTTGTAGTTTGAATTAGAAGGCAATAAAAGATTTTAATTAATTAAAATCTTTTATTGCCTTCTTATTCAAACAAACGCGCGCTTAAACTAATCAACAATTTAATCGTCTTAATCATACGTTTACAATATGCTGTATCTTAATCGATAACCAACGCGACTTATTCTAACACAAAGAAACTTGTAAAGTAGCCGGTGAGTGATCACCTGGCTAGTGCGCACTTACAACTAAACAAAACACGCAATACATTAATTAAAGAAGAGGAATTAAACAAAGGTAGCCGACAAGTGATCCCCTAACTACCTAATAATTCGTGCGGACGCCCATCAGTGCGAGAGAGAAAACAACCAGGAGAAAGAGAGATGACCTGACCTTTGTTTTCTCCTCGATGATCCTTGGGAGGCGAAGATGGTAACTGCATGGCAGGCCGATTGTACAGCTTCTCGTCGTTGATGCTGCTGTAGGTGATGCGCTTTCGACAAAAGGCTAGGGCGTGGGGCTGCTCAGGATAGAAGGCAGCCAAACCTCTTCTTCGCAGGGAACAATTGCCAAGATGATCGGCAGCACGAGCTAATTCCTTGATTGACTGACCTCGATTATTGGCTGACGTAGAGTGACGCTATGCAATACTCCTGCGCGCGCTCTCTCAAAGTATCCCTACTTAGCCTAGTTTTAGGTTGCGTACAACGAAGCGCTAAATGGTCACGCGTTGCCCGCCTGCTTAATAACCGCTTAGTGTACGCTCACGTCAGCGCTCTCTCTCTTTTTCTCTCTTCCTTCAACTGCAGAGTCTTCTTAATTTTTCCTTCTGCAACGCTCTCTCTCGCTCTCCTTAGGTTACCTCAGCCGGATCTGGTAATTTATGACGGCTGAAAAAGAGGTACAGTATTAGGCGCATAGAGAAAGTGCGCTCAATACTGATCATTGAGCCTTGCCGAGGGCAAACGGAAGAGGCAGAGGAACCGACGAGAAACGGGTAATTGCCTACTCTCTTCACAGTATTAATCACTTACAATGAAACCTCCCCTCCCTTAACCTAAAATTTAGATATGTTACAGTTCATGAAAAAATACGACATACGTGTTCTTTATCAACAGAAAAATACTTTAAGGGGATGAAAACTACTCTCAAATTTCATCTAAAAATGGATTTTTCATTGTATCTCAACGTTTTTTTGTATTATATATACTATAATATTTTTTCAAATTTTTATTAATAATTTATAATGAATAAAATATCAATTAGAAGCTGAGATACATTTGAAAATCCATTTTCGAGGATGAACTTTGAGAACGGTTTTCATCCCCTCAAAGTGTTTTTTCACCGATAAAAAAACATAACTTATTTTCATATAACTATATCATATCAAAAAATTATCAAAATCGATGAGGTCGGGTTGGGAGGGGGGGGGGTTCCTTCTTAGAATATCAATCATGCAACTCTAGAATTATCCATCCCTCCATCCTTCTGCTTTCAATTCGAACCAACTACTCATTGTAGTCAACAGCGAGGTTTGTCCGTCAAAGATAGCTTACGTTTGCGGATTATAGATAACTTCGTAAAGAAGCTCAAGATAAAAATGCGTACTGATGAGACTCTGGTGCTCTATGCAGTCAGTCATAAAGTGTAATTAGCTCTTTATTGTGTTTTGACTTTCTAACGATCTTGGGCTGCATTTTTTGAAAAGAAAGAACAAAAATTTTTTTCTAAATTGCTTTGAAAAAAATTAACTAGTTGCATGATGTTTAGTCGCATTTCAAATGGCACGTCGAAGTAGCGAACTGTGTAGATTGATACTATGTTCACTGCTCGATGATTAACTTCAATAATAATTCATGAAATACACAAACAACTATTATTTCGATCTTTTCGAGCGTCTAGTACTGTATGTCAACTTCTTGCTTACTCTCGGAAACATGATTTGCATATGTATCTTAAAGTCCGAACTTAATTAATTATAACGTAGCAAAATCGAGACGTTACAATATGTATAAGATTATGTTGTCCCCTTCAAAGTAATCCCTGTTAGATATAATACACTTGTTCCAACGCTTTTTTCAATCATCGAAGCACTTTTGATAATCATTTTGAGGTATAGCCTTGACTTCTTTCAGCGATGCAATTTTTATCTCCTCAATCGTTGAAAATCGATGTCCTTTCATGGGTTTCTTAAGTTTTAGGAAAAGAAAAATGTCACTAGGAGCCAAATCCGGTGAATATGTAGGCTAAGGCCTACATATGTGTGTAGGTGCATTATCGTGATGCAAAATCCACGAACTGTTTTTCCAAAGTTTCGAAGGTTTTTTGCGTACTGTCTCTCGCAAACGACGCATAACTTCAAAATAATACTCCTTATTAACTGTACAACCTTGTTTCTGATGAACTACGCCACGGTAATCAAAGAAGACAGTGAGAAAAATCTTGACATTTGATCGAACTTGGTGTGCTTTTCTGGGTGTTGGCTCTTTTAGGGTCTTCCTTTGGAACGATTGGACTTTAGTTTCGATATCATCACCATATGCCCATAATTTATCATTAGTTATAACCTTTTTAAGAAAATCATGATCTTCATTGATTTCATTCAACATCTCCTGCGCAATGGTCATGCGACGGTTCTTTTGATCAAAATTATACAATTTTGAAAGGAATTTCGCTGACACACGTCTCATGTCCAAAACATCTGAAAAAATATCATGGCATGAGTCAACCGACCTCCTGAAACTTTTCTGATAGTGATTTGACGATTTTTTAACACAATTTCTTTCACTGCTTCGACGTTTTCATCTGTTGTTGATATGCCACTAAATTCTCTCGACCTTCTTGGAATAGCTGATACCACTTATACACATTTTTCTTACTCGGAGTAGACTCATCGTATGCAATTGTCAACATTTTAAGAGTTTTAGAGCACTGGATTCCATTTTTCACACAAAATTTAATGCAAACTCGCCACGATCATATGTTCATAGTTTTGACTATATAGCATGTGTTGTTTTTCTGGCAAAGGCATCAGAGGTTAGACGTGTTTGGTGTACTCGGCGATTTTCTTCTATATGTTCTGTTAATTCAAGTAAGCCATAATTAAATATTAAAAATTACAGATATTAAACAGAAATTCACAAAATTTTAATTTAGTTTTCAAAGATATTTTTAGTTCCTAGGAGGTACTTTCAGGCATCAATTCGAATGTACGGGATGTATCCGAGAAGTATCCGGAATACCTTTATATCTCCACGCTACTGTTAATCTTTTTCATCGGACGAGTGGTATTCTCCAAAGTAATCCTCATTTGATTGAATAACGTACTTGCAGCGTCTTTGATACTGTTTGAAGTAGTCCTGGAAGTCAGTTTTCGAAATAACCGAAAGTTACAAAGATCTCTACCGGAACTGTATGGAGATTGGTGGATGTACAAACATCCCTTAACCAAAATTATGGTCCTTTTTTTCTTATTGCCTTACTCAATAAGAAATCATTTGAAAACTTCACGATAAAATTCTCCTCACGCCAATATACTACGAACGGCACAATAACAAACGCGAGCGTGAAGGTTAATCGATGGCTCGTCAGCCTGCTGATTCCCTTTTTCAAGCTACTTATTATAATAAATGCCCGATTTACAATTTCCGCCGTTATTTCGTCAACGAGGTAGCCGGCAGATCTGCCACACTATCCACCCATCAGCTGGCATCCAAACATGCAAGAGAGACAAAGAGACAAGAGAGAACAAGACACCGACCTCGACCTTCAGCCTTTCTGACGGCTAGAATGCTTCGCGGTCTGACGTCACTGGTGCGCTTCTTCTCGCTGACCGCCTCGCTGGTGTTATTGTCATCACTGTTTGACCTCTCGCTAATCCTTTCATTCGCTTTACCAATGTTGCTGCCTCAACCTGTTGTTCTGCTCGTTGTTTTTGTT